CACATTGAGCAGAACCATTCACGATGACTAAAATCTCTGACTAGTAACAACTAATTTAGACCCCATGATTTTGTATGTATCATTAGGATTATGTTCTCCAATGTACATTACTTCGCATTTATCAAGAGTGAATTTCGTCTGCTGTTCTGTTACCCAGTCACCCAGTTTTGTGAGATCCTTTGAACTCTTTGCAGCCTGCTTTGGATTTAACTACCTTGAGTAATTTTGTTTCATCTACAAATTTTGCCACCTCACTGTAGTAGACAACGCACCAAAGGCCATGAAGTGATCAGTCTCATACATAGTAGAAATCACTAGAGCTCATGTTGATTTCTAACACCACTAATATAGAGACGGGGGGACAATGACAAAATCAACTGTTATCAATTTTAGCATATGCAGTGTCTGGGAAGCAGAGATTACTTTAACTTTATATAGTAGAACCTCCAAGTTACAAACACCTCGGGAATGGAGGTTGTTCCAACTTTGAACAAAACGTTAGGATTCTTTCAAAAGTTTTCAACTGAACATTGACTTAATACAGCTTTGAAACTTTACTATGCAGAAGAAACTGCTTAACCATTTTAATTTAAATGAAACAAGCACAGAAACAGCTTCCTTACCTTGTCAAATCTTTATTTAGTAGTTTACATTTAACAGTACTGTAACTTGCTTTTTTGTCTTTGCTGCTACCTGATTGCATAATTCCAATTCCAAATGAGGTGTGTGGTTGACAAGTCAGTTTGTAACTCTGAGGTTCTACTGTAGTAGTTCTCAAACTTTTGAACTAGTGACCCCTTTCACATAGCAAACCTCTGAGTGGGACCCCCCTTATAAATTAATATATTTCATGTAGCCAATGAAAGCTTATGCTCTAATAAATTTGTTAGTCTAAGGTGCCACAAGTACTCCTTTTCTTTTTAATATATTTAACACCATTATAAATGCTGGATGGAAAGCGGGGTTTAGGGTGGAGGCTGACAGCTTGCGACCCCCCCCCAGATAATAACCTCGCGACCCCTCGAGGGATCCTGAACCCCTGTTCTACTGTATGCTTTCAATCACTGTCCAGTCTGTCACTTCAGTCCATCACATCATTCCAGCCTATGCCAAGCTGCTACTCATGCTCTTTACCATCCCAATACAGCTCCCTTTTCCTTTATTTCTTTGTTTAATTCATATTTTATCATTTTGGCCAGAGTGAAGAATTTTTAGTCCAATCAGATTGGAAAACAGTTATTCCCTTAACAGCACTTCAGCTTCATAAGTGAATGCGCTTCCAGTTTGGCCAAAGAGCAGCTTAGGGGAAGCTCCAAAAAGCAAGTGTTGTCTTCCTGAGTTGGAGTCCCAAGCATGCCCAGCAGGGACTCCCTTTTGGTAGTTTCCTGAAAAGAAACTCTAGCCCAAGTCTTCTCAAATCAGCAGACTTCAAGGACCCCAGGTCACAGAGCTCTGATGTCAATATCTTCATTTGAAAAGACCTACTTAGATAGAATTGTTTCTCAGCCAAACATCGGACTTGGTCATTAGGATTCCCAGCTGCTCCAGACTGGCAGTTCTGTGCATGCACACACATCCAGGTGTCGCTGGACATGCTGTAAGGAGCAGTCCAGCTTGTGCTGCCAGAGATGGCCTATAGGAAATAGCTTGCTTTGGAAGCTCTGTTCAGGATTGTACCTAACTGCGCTGTAGAAACACTGAGGAGTTGGCGAACAGAACCTTGAGCTTTCTGACCCTAAAGAAATTCTGGGAGGTGGCAAGGGGGTTTGGAAGAGAATAATCTTGCTTTCAGGTTGAGCTAGCTAGGAGATTTCCTGCAGGACAAACCACTTTAGACTGTAAGCTCTTTGGAACAGGAGCAGCTTCTGAGAGGCTGTGTCCTCAAACAGAGCGGAGCCCTGATATGGGGAGGTTGGGGGGAGAGAACCTCTGAGTAGCACCACAAAACAAACACTACTTGAGCTATCATCCATCACATGTTTTGGCAATGTGACATTGAAGAACCCCTCATCAGTAATTACCGGTTTGTGAAGGCAGCTATGGAAAACCACTCCCTCACCAACCTGGGACAGGATTTGGGAATGTGCATGTGTAGAAACAGCTACATCGATGAAGATTTCAGCCCCTGATCATAGAGCAAGACGGAAAATACACCTGTCATTTCTTACTGTAACAGTTCATTGCAGGGCCCTGTTGGCTCCTGCCCCTGCTGGGCTGAGAAAGTCACTCAGACCCTCAGGTTCTAAAACCACTGGTGATTTATAAGTCTGTTCCCACCAGCTTCTCACCATACAGCATACACAGTTCTGGGTTCCTCGTGTCTGAGCCTGGGGGAGGAAAGGGTTTTCTCCCTCCTGCACTCCCTCACTCCTCTGTCCCACCACCCTGCTTCCTTCTTCCCAGCCTCTTATACAGCTCAGGGTGAATTGGGCTGGCAGCTGGCTTTCATTCCCCAATTAGGGCAGGGTTTTTCCAACCAGCTGCACTTTATTCACCCAAATGGGGCTGGCATGGCAGGGGGCTGATTCTGCAGCCCTCCTGCTCAGCACCTTGTCACACTTACACTAATGCAATTACTTAGCAATGCACGGGGTTTGGAACTCAGCATGCTCTACAGGGTCACGTTCATAGCTAAGGCATCATAGCATAGGCATCGGATCCCCATAGTCCATCTTGTCAACAAATCCCAGGTGACAAGCAAAATCATTCCTCCAGCAATGGTTTGTCTAAAACGATTCCTGCAACAATGCTAAAAATTCCCATGACACTGACAACCAAGTTACAGGCAAACAGGATTAGATGCAAGTTTCACTCCACCCAAAGGATGATGTTCATTTGAATGTGCATTATAATTGTACATGTAATGAGTGACTAGAAAGCAAGGAATTCCTGCCGCAGTTCTCACTACCTGCAGACTAAGGCAGAAAGCCATGACAAACATTTCGCATTATTTCCTTTGGAAGGACCATCTTGCAACAGGTTTCAGAGTAACAGCCGTGTTAGTCTGTATTCGCAAAAAGAAAAGGAGGACTTGTGGCACCTTAGAGACTAACCAATTTGAGCGTGAGCTACAGCTCACTTCATCGGAAGCCCATCTGTACAAGACACTGCTGGGCAGAGGGTTATGGATTTGCTTTTGCAAACTTGTTGCTTTTTATTATCCTGTTTGTCTGTTAAATGCCATAATGCTCTGCTATAAAAAGGATCATCATACCCAATGACATTAAGCATATGGGAATTCACTTCATTCATTAGGAACAAAGGAAACATGCACTGGTCCTGATGCAGCACAGTCAGGAGAGAACACCCCCAGAATTTGATGACTACTCATGTCACCAACATTCACAGCTAGATAACACAGTGAATTCAGGGTACCGAAGCACTAACCCTTGGTCACACTAGCTAGACAGTCCTATCAGGACAAGCCATGCCTGGGTACCATGCGTGAGCTGCACCTGTAAGCTCTTAGTTTGTCCTTTTTAACATCCATGGGGGAATGAGAACAAAGCTTCCCAGCATTACTCAATCCCTTTCTGGAAAGGCACTTCTAGTTGTAAGATGTTATGGGTCAGCCCCCCATGCCCTCTAAGAATGCCAACAAGGGTGCCAGCTGGGATGGTTCTGGAGACACTGAGAAATCACTCCACTAGAAAGTTTTACAAGACTCTGACAGTCTGGATGTTCATTACTTCTAGCCACAGCCAACTTGGTTCCCATCCAGATCAGAGATGTGCATGTGAAAGGCTCTGCCCCTGTACCAGGCTGAGGCACTTGGCCTCCTCCATCCCTCAGAATTTCTCCTCTAATCGTGTAGCCCTCTTTGTGTGGGGAACAGCTTTTGTTTGTTTAACCTTGTCTTCGTTTAACAGGGCAGATTCTATCAGCAACATGCAAACACTAGGCTGCTATTTCAGATCGGTCACATTCTGCGCATTGAATACCATGCAAATTGTACCTCAACCAAACAATGACCTCTGAAATGAGATTGAGATTCCCAGAGCAGGCAACACAAGGGAACAAGTTTGCTGGCAACATCAAGTCTCAATGTGACCCATATTCCTGTTTCACTAGCCTCACAAGTAAAGTGAAGACCCGGGATCCTGCAATCAGGTCATATCATGTAAGCCAGAGCAGAATCACCGGAGGAAGTACAGCTTGTACGACAGTTCTCAGCAGGCTCCAAGTCACCCACTCCCAAAGAAAAGTTTATAAGGAGACTGCATTGCCCAGGGGTTTGAAGCATCTTACTCCTGGCCCAAGCTGAGATACCTTGTGCCTCTAACGGTGGCCCTTTCAGGCAGGGCGGAAGTAAGAGCCAGGAGGAACCTGGCACTGCTTCTATGTGTTCCATGGGGAATGAGAACTTGTCTTCAGGATTGTAAATGCTGCATCTTTTACAAGTGCTGGAGCTGGTTAAAGGATGATAACGTATGCATTCTATTCTCTGCTTCAGAAGAATATTTGAAGCACAGTAGTTCAAATCAGGCACCAGGGCCATATTTTGGCATCTGAAGTCACTTATTTACTTCTGATGCTTTAGGCCCTTGACATAATTCCACAGCACACTGCTGTGATTCGGTCCCAAAGCTAGCACACACCAAACCAGTACAGAAGGGATCATGCCCAACACTGTACTTGGAGACAAATTCCCTGACTTCCTGATGCCAGCTGTAAGCAGTTTCTTGCAGCTGTAACTTAGACCTTTGTCTAGCCTTCACTGCCAGCTACAGTGCGGTCTTACAATTGGGAAAGCACTGTGTCACATATCCATGCTTCTGGATGCAATCATTGAGAGATACATCATGCAGCAGGGAAGGTACAGTAAGTATTTTCAGTTTCTTGCTTGGCTTTAAGTCTGTTTGAGGTCTTCCGGCCTACAACTAGGTATAAAAACATTCTGAATTAAACTCAAAGTTAGCAAAGGCCTAAAGCAGAACAAGTTGCTAACTGATTTCAGACAGTTTATATAATTAGCCACATTAAAAATAGCAGTGTTCAGTTTGTGCATATGCCAAATACGGGTGCAGTTCTGCTCTCACAAGCTGTGCTGTGACGCATGGCTGTCTAACATCAGTAATCGTACGGAAGCTCAGCAGCTGCCGCACACGCCACGCCTTGCTGCAGCTCAGCTCCTGCCAGTCACAAAACCATTTTCATTTCACAACCCTTTCGCATGAACATCTGCTAGTGAATGGACAACCGTGCTGTGGGTCAATACTTGTCATCTGCAAGACTGACGACTTTAATCTAAGTAGGTGTGCTGGGACATGGGCAGGCATGACAGGCAGGCTGCCAATTCTCATCTCTGCTTTAATGGTACGTTCACACCACACAGAGCGAGTGGTGATGCCACCCTCGCTACTCCAGCCACCGTGGAAGTTCAAGTCCCCAGCTGGTGAAGCAGGCATTCTTAGAGCTGATGGACTCATCTCCCCATACCATTAGATTGGAGTCCTCTGTTAAGCTCCTATTCCAGCAAGTGTTTCTGAAGTCTGTTTCTCACCATTGAAAAGCAAGTAGCATCATAATGAGTTTGAAGTTAGACTTGCACGTCAATGCCTGGTTCAGGCTCCTACCATCCAGTTTGCGTGCAGATGCCTCCTTCCATAAGGAAACCGCAGAGACTGGTAAAGAGGAGGAATCCCAGCACTTGCTGCACCCTCCACCCCTTGCCTCAAGTTACCACTTCCAGAGGATTTCTGGATCTTTAGCTTCTCACTTTCAATAATTCCCTCCTGTGCACAGGAAGGGACAGCTCGCTATGCAACTGATCAGAGAAAGGCTGGCCCAGGAGAAGTTCAGAGAACCTCTGCAATCTTGGTTACGATGCAAGGTAAGCCATGGGGCCTATTCCAACTAGTGAAATTTCAGAATGCAGACTAAGAGGTCAAAAACCCTTTTTAAGAGGAAAATGAGACCGCCTAGCCAGGGATATCTGCCAGCTAACAACTTGCGTTACAAGGCAGTGTCATTTGTTCTATTGGTGATAATAGCTATTTTCCAGTCTCCTTTATACCACAAGCCAAAATTTATGCAGTGGTAGTTTTTGGTTTATTAATGTGTCTCACCACCTTGGGGGGTATCAGCTAGGAAAGGCAAATTACAGACTAACCACAGACATTACCAGTGTAGCTAGGACACAAATGAAAGGAAAGCATAAGCTGAAGCTGCAGACTGCCAATCCTGTCAGTGGGCAGAGGCAAGCCATGGACAGTGCAAGGGCTGAGCTAAGGCACTTTGTCCCTGTTGTGGCACTCTGAAACAGACAGCTAGCAATGGGTACTCGGGGGGAAGGTGGGGTTCGGAATACAGGTGAGCTACACTTTTGGATTCGATGTGTAAAAATAACTCTCCTTATATCAGGTCCTAATGCACAGAAGTAAATCCCTTTTCAATAAGCAGGAAGGGGTCAGATTTAAGTGAAGCAAGAGAGAACATACATTAAGCAGGTTGTCCATTTACCTGCCCAAAGTTTGTGGTGGCAGCAGCCTCCAGTAAGTTTTGCCAGAAGATTCAAGGATTGAACCCTAACACACAAGTGCCAAAAATCAAGCCTGAGGTAAAGATATTTAGCAGACTTCTACCAAGAGCTGCAGGGAGCACCAAGCCCCCTTCAGAAACACTTCTTGCTGATTTAAGACCAGTTTTGTTTGGGGGTAGATGAAGACTGGACACTCTGGTGAAAGCCAGTGCTACAGTTCGGGACTTTGGGAGAGCAAGAATAGCATCCAACTACAACTACCCTAAATAAAAAGAAAAGGAGTACGAGTGGCACCTTAGAGACTAACCCATTTATTTGAGCATAAGCTTTCGTGAGCTACAGCTCACTTCATCGGATGCATCCGATGAAGTGAGCTGTAGCTCACAAAAGCTTATTCTCAAATAAATGGGTTAGTCTCCAAGGTTTCACTAGTACTCCTTTTCTTTTTGCGAATACAGACTAACACGGCTGCTACTCTGAAACCTACCCTAAATAAATTGCTCAAACATTCAGGACTGATGAATATGCAGTTAGGTCAGAGGTGGGCCACATCTGGCCCGTGCGACTGTCCTACCTGGCCCCTGAGCTCCAGGCCGGGGAGGCTAGCCCCCGGCCCCTCCCCCCGCAGTCACACCACTGCATGGGCAGTGCAGCTGGCTCAGTCCAGACAGCAGGGCTGTGAGCTCCTGCCGCTCTGAGCGGCATGGTAAGGGGGCGGCGGTGGTGGTGTTAGATGGGTTGGGGTTCTGAGGGGGGGAGCCAGGGGGTGGGAAGTGGGTGGGGGCAGATGGGGGCAGGGGCCAGGCTGTTTGGGGGGCACAGCCTTCCCTACCTGGCCCTCCATACAGTTTTGCACCCCGATGTGGCCCTCAGGCCAAAAAAGTCTGCCCACCCCTGAGTTAGGTTCAGACCATACAGCCGCCGGACACGAGTTAGAGAACCCAGAAGTTGGAGGTCACAGGAGGTTCAGGCACAAGCTCCTACCTTTGTGTTGTCTTGCTTTGCTGAGGAGCTCCCCACTGGGCGAGGTGTGAGCTCCTGCTGGATGAGTCACCGCTCTTACCTAACTACAATCTAGTGTTCGAGATAGACATCCCCTCAGCAGCCCGGTCGGCTTTGAGGCAAGTGATAGAGGTTTATTACCAAAGACCCTGCCCAGCAGTTTATAAGGATTCAGCCCATCAGACGCTTCTGTAGCATCCAGCTGTTCACATTCCTCAACCTTGCCTGCCACAGCTGCTGTCTGCCACCCTGCATTAGAGTGAATAGTAACAAAGAGCTTCAGATGGCGTCTTGCCACTCAGCCTTCAGAAGCGAGTTTCACTTACAAGACCACCAGCTTATTCAAAAGAGTTTTGCAGATGTTAATTACTGCAGCACTAGTTTGTAGCTGGGATTTGAATTTAAACCAGCGCCTTAGCTGGCCAGTCTGACAACACCTTAAAGATGACTTCATGCAGTTCTTGGTACCTTCTACTCTTCCATGTCACACTGTCACTGGGTAGGCTCAGTGTGGGCAGCTGGACCAATACATAGAGGAAGAAATAAGCAGAAGAGCACTGAAAATAAGCTTTCAGCTTTACATTTGCTATGAAGGGCTTGTTAGGGGCCCAATTAGCCCTATTGCTAGCTGCATGCTGCCAGCCCTAGAAGGGTATTGCTGGACAACAGTTTCAATGGCCATGAAACAAGACTTGACCAATGGAGTGTTTGAGACAAACCGATTACAGCCTATTGATTATGGAAGCTATAGGCTAAGAAGCTCTAGTTCTATCTGTACAAATCTTTGGCAAACACCAATGTTTGCCAGCTCAGAGAGCTTTCAGCTTTGGACAACTCTGCAGTTTCCTTCACTGCTCCTTTGAGTTAAGGTGAGCAACATAGGGCAGAAAATGTCAAGCAAGGAGAAGTTCAGAGATATTGGGTGTCAGGATTGGTAACCAGGCTATATTTCTGTTGGAAGCATCTGGACAGGACACTGGGATGCAGGGTTCCTTTATTCTGTCCTATTTAAGGTACCTAAGTTCTTGGGCAATTTCAGCGTAGAAGAAAAAATATTGCCAAAGCACAGTGCAAGGCAGGTTATACTGATTTTAGAGATTTAGCAAATCAGGTCCTACCTGAGTACCTAGGCACCCTGACAATTGTTTAAAAGCACAGCCAGCAATACCCTTTCCCCATCAACATGCCCCACAAAAAACACCCCAAGAGGAGCCGTGCAACATGCTCTGAAAGTCGACACACTGGGCTAGTCCAGACCAAGGGAGACGTTCCAAAGCCAATAGCCCTTCCCACCGAGCCAGGTCTGGATCTGGGGAACTCCTGAGGTTACAGCAGGTGCTCAGATCCGCTGAGGACATATGGAATGGGGAAAGGTCGTCTCAAGCAGACAGAGCAGAGGCCATGGAGAGCTTTAAGTGTCTAACAACTACATCTTAAAAATTAACCAGTAACCCACAGCAACCAGCACAGATCAGAGCACCACAGATTCCCCTCCCAGAAAAGGCTTCCCAATTTCACATTCAAAGAAGAGGGTGAGGTGTGATTTGCTGATAACCTAAATTACTCAGTGGGCGTTACTTCCTAGATCAGGGTCTGAACAAGCCACTTCTGCTACACTCAAGCCCACCAGCCTGAATATGTGACATCTGAGAGCAGCTCAAAGCACTGGCAGATGTACACTACAGGTATGTCTACAATGCAGTTAGACACCTGCATCTTGCCCGTTCCAGCTGACTCCAGCTACGGGACTGTTAATTGCAGTGTAGACATCTGAGCTGGGTTGCAGCCCAAGCTCTAGGACCCTGCAAGATGGGAGGGTCCCAGAACCCAGACATCTACACTCCAACTGAACAGCCTCTCCACCCAAGACCCACGAGCCCAACTCAGCAGTCACTGCCCAGCTGTGCTTTTTTAATTGCAATGTAGACATACCCTACTATAGCCAGGTTCCCATGCAAGCTCATATGAATCCTAAGGCTTTATAGGACCCTTTGACAACCAAGTTAGTGGCTTAATTTCTGCCACCAATTCTGCTTGCATTAATTTATTCTGAGGAATAACTTGGCAGAACAGCTTTGCATGATACATCCACTGCATTAACTTCTTTGCCGCAGTGGGCCCAGTACGCACCCCTGGAGCCGGCTATACCGAATGGCAGAAACTGTGCACGAAGACAGAGGACTGCACCTGCAGCAAGCTACGTAAATAGTCTCATTTTGCTCGGGGTTACCACGGCTCAAGAAAGAGCCCCCAATGAAGTACTTAGACTATCAACTACTTAAGATGCTGCCTGAATTCCTTGGCAGGGACACCTTGGCGTTAGTGACTGTAATGTTATTGACCGAGTCTGTAACCGTATAGATCACTGTGCAACCACTGTTCTATATTTGCAGAAAATGTTGTACAAAGGTTGTTGTGTGAGGGGTCTATGGAAAGGTTATGAGTGGCTGGTTATAATTATAGGTTTCAGAGTAACAGCCGTGTTAGCCTGTATTCGCAAAAAGAAAAGGAGTACTTGTGGCACCTTAGAGACTAACCAATTTATTTGAGCATAAGCTTTCGTGAGCCACAGCTCACTTCCTCGGATGCATACTGTGGAAAGCGTAGAAGATCTTTTTATACACCTTTCCACAGTATGCATCCGAGGAAGTGAGCTGTGGCTCACGAAAGCTTATGCTCAAATAAACTGGTTAGTCTCTAAGGTGCCACAAGTACTCCTTTGGTTATAATTATATATCTGTATATGTGTATCATTTTTGTAGTTGAAGTTATGAATATTGGCTCTATATGGACTGTATTTCAAACTTCTGCTCTGCTTCTTGATGACATCCCAGACAAGTTGGTGTCAGCTCTGCCTAGCCTGCTTGATGACCCATTAAGAGCCATCAGCTATACAACTGACCCATTGAGAGAAGGCAGACACGCCTTATGACTCAGCAAGGTATGCAGGGACCTGCCTATGGACAGAACTCTAAGGTATTTCTATGCCATGTGCTGGATAGCATGTCCTTGGGACAAAAGAAAGCAAAGACCACATGGCAAGAGACTATAAAGGGCTGATGCCTCCTCTCCATCTGGTCTTCAATCCTGCTTCATACCTCCGGAGAGACTTTGCTACAAACGGAAGCTCTAAACAAAGGACGGATGACCCATCCCAGCTGTCGATGTACTCCAGGGACTTGATTTGAACCTGCAGTTTATTCTGTGACTGCTACAAGCCTGAACCAAGAACTTTGCCATCACTGGATGTAATTGATTCCATTTAACCAAATTCTAGCTCATCTATATATTTCATTTTATGAAAAAGCCTTTAGATTCTAAAGGATTGGCAGTGTTATTTGTGGGTGAAATCTGATTTGTATAAGGACCTGGGTCTGGGGCTTGGTCCTTTGGGACTGAGAGAACTTTTTTCTTTTACTGGGGTATTGGTTTTCATAACCATTCATCCCCATAACGAGTGGCACTGGTGGGGATACTGGGAAACTGAAGTGTTTAAGGGAATTGCTTGTGTGACTTGTGGTTAGCCAGTGGGGTAAAACCAAAGACCTCTCTGGCTGGTTTGGTTTGCCTTAGAGGTGGAAAAACCCCAGTCTTGGGCGGTAACTGCCCTGCTTTAAGCAATTTGTCCTGAATTGGCACTCTCCGGTGGGTCCCGCCAGAACCAGCATTGTTACAGTGATATAAGGAGGTTTTGCTTCACCAAAGATCATTAAAGGCACACTTGCCCTCTCTCAAGGTTAGTACAACGTTTGACCCCTCTTATAACCCCCAAAACTCCTTTAAGTTTGCAAAGCCTATGTATTAGGCATTTAACAACCATTTTCTTCCCCTATAATAAAGATGTCAGCATTCACTAGCAGGCCCTAGACAAGCAGAGTGCTGTGGCAGGGAGAGACTAAATCCTTGGTATAAAAACCAGGTTCCTGTTTAAGGGTTATTTAAAGACCACTGGTTAGACATGTTCTGACCTACCACAAGCTTTTCTCAGAACCCCAAGGGGCTTGGTTACCATGGTACTGAATCATGGTTCTTGCATCTGAAGTGGTGTTTTACTCACGAAAGCTTATGCCCAAATAAACCTGTTAGTCTTTAAGGTGCCACCGGACTCCTTGTTGTTTTCATGGTACTGAAGTACACACTTCATGGAGTACTGTAACATGCTTAGCTACCTGACTCGGAGACACAGAATCCATTCGATTGAACACTCCCCCAGCCAAAAACCCGGTAAGCTAGCCTTGCAAGAGGAAAGCCATAACTGTCACCTTACTATATGAGAGCTGATCCAGCTAACAGCGTGACATGTATTACATGGGCAAGCTTAGAACTTGCCTCTCCCAGTTACCCTATCCCAAGCCCACATCTCCTCCCGAATGACTTTACACTACACAATTTCTACAGCCACAACCTGCACTTCCCTCCGCAAGCTAAGGGAAGGAACACTTCTGGGGAGGGACACTTCTGTAGCCACTGAGCAGGCTCCGTGTCCACCAAGCTAGCAGCTGAACAGGAGTAAGTGCCACTGTCAGGGTTAGAATTCAGGTGCTCAGATCACAAGTCAAGAGGTAGCACATTGCTACTGTGCTGGCACAAGGCATGCTAGAGTTTCAAAGTCAATCCACCTTTCCTAGGAGAACTGGAACTGCCAACTGGATTTTAAAAGTGCTTCCATTCTAATAATGGAGAGTTTGTATTCCTGTTGAAAGACCATCAGAGGCATGGCTACCCCAGAACTCACACCTGGCTGTTCTCTGAAACAAGTTTGCCTTTGAAAGGCCACCGAGAAAGTCTAGATCTGTTCCTTCCGAAGTTATGCAAATAACCTGCAGGACGTGCAGCTTGTGTCTCTCACCAATGTACAGTATGCCATCGGTCTCCCAGTTTGCACATGGGACACATTCACACATGTATCAAGCCAGTCTGTTCTGCCAAAAGAAGAGTGTTTCAGTGTGCAGCAGGGTAAGAATTCCTGCCAGACTCCAGGGAGTGTCTCCCAGTGGAAGACTTACTAAGTGATTCAATTGAGGCAAACATTTAAGCAGCTAGCCTTAAATATGCCCAGCAGCATTCAAGCTAATGGAGCCGTTGTCTCCTTCAGTCATACAGCTTCATTAACAGAATCTTCTGACTGCAAGGCAAACCCACACAGAGGGAATTCAGTTGAGAATTAAGTTGCTAATACTTGAACAGGGCAATGCTAGTGAGACAAGGCTAGAGAGACCCTAGAATTCAGGGTTTTTTTAATAAAGACTTTCTTTCTGACCTAGTCAAAGTAATTGAAAGTTATAAATGTTACAGCTGTGCAGGCATCAGCCATAGACGTCAGCTTCCCAAGATCTGGAACGCACTGACTAATGCCAACTCCTGCACTTTTCCTTGCTTGATATTCTCAAGCCAGCCATTAACTGCCCAGTAAAGCACAAATTCACCTGCTAACCAAGATATCTTCCTGCTTTACCACCAGTTGGCAGAGCCAGCAGGCAGGGCCCAGGTCAGTCCATTATAAAAACAGGGCTCAGGGAAGTGTCAGGTAATTCATGTCTAGTACAGTCTGAGTGTGCCAGTTTAGCTCTGTGATCTCTTTATGTGGCAAGGGAATTATCAGAACTTGCATAACTGAAGTCAAGTAAAAAACACGCACAGGACTTTAATCAGCAACAAGCGGTGATCAGAGCGACTGCCCTGAGGAGGGCTGCTGCTGTGGTTCTGGGTGAGCCTTCGGCTGGATTTCCTTCCAACCCTGTGGCGAGAGTGATTCTGTTCCCAGCTCTGCCAGTCACTGAATTGTTCTGGATGGGTCATTTCACTTCTGCAAAGTGGGTATAAATCCTGTCCGGAGGGACACTGTATGGCTCGTCTGTAACACCCTTGGAGAGCTTCTGGAAAGAGACTCTGTAGCTAGAACAGGGCATCAGACTGATCAAGGGATATCAGGAATGGAATCACTGTCTGAAAGTGTTCTGCTTACTCGTGTTACAAGTAATACTTAATATTTCTGTGACTGACATTACTTTTGTCTGAAGCAAGTCTTTTCCTGGCCACAGATTCTTAAATAGGGGGAAGAAAAAAAAAATCATGCCACTGATGCTAACACACAAATTTCTCATCCAACAAGGAAGGTGGGTGTTTAAATCCATTTTCTCCACAAGATGTTGATACAAGTGACTCAAACAGTCAATGCCAAGAGTGTTGATGTGAAGATCGGAAGCTGTAGTATTCACTTCAGCTTAAACAATTCGCAGAAACTTAACTCCTATGGCGCTAGGTTATTGTAACCAGAGCTCCAAGACAGGTGTGTATCTGCTTGGAATTGTCAGTGGCAGGTCTTATGTTAATGTCTCCACGCAGATAAAAAGTGTTTAAACCCAATGAACAGAAGGTGAAGAGGCCACAACCTCCAGTACCGCATGTTGACAAGTTGGTACTTTGGAAGGTAATTACACAAGTTAAGTTTGCAGTAAGTCAGGGGAATTCAGGATATTCAAGGATATCAGCTCAAACACTGCCACATACTAGTTAGCTATTTTGAGTACTCTGTTAGTTGGCTCACTGCTATTAAGGTTAATTCTCCACAGGTAATAGCAAAGTAACAGCTACCGGTTTCAGTAACCGGAGGCATGCTCTTTAATGGGGCTCATGGGTGTGGTAAGCTCACTAAAATGCCAAGCAGATACAGAAAAAGATCGTTATTTATGTCATGTCCAGAGGCACCTAGAGATTGTGATGTTATAGTGGTGACAGCCAGTGTGGCATGTTTAAGTTAAGACTCCATGTTCTGTAGCTATGGAATCCAACCATTGCCACAGATTAGAGCACTTGTGGCTAGTATTTCTAGCACTCACGGTTGTGAAAACAGATCTTTAAAATGTGAACCAGCTGTAACTGATGCAGCGCTATCTGTGAAGTCAGCTGGACATTTTCTGTTCCACTGGCAGGGTATATCATTTAACCTCTGTCACCTTAAAATTCAGGCAAGTTGGGGAAAACACTCCCCTCACTATGATAAGAAGGGTGCTTGTAAAGCACCCATGTAATGGGAGCAATAAGGTGAAAATGAAGTACAAAGAACTATGCACATCAATTCCTTTTTGATTCATGAAAGGAAAAATTCTCTTATTAGACCACAGATAAGGCTTGCAGGGTTTAATCAGCCACCCCACATCATAAGCACAGACTTGACATAAGAAAGGGAGAAGGAAATTGAAAAGTTTCTGCTAGAATCAAGTACTGCATCATCTTACTCCTGACAAAGCACAATAGTTTAGATAGATTTTAATCCAACTTTGAAAGTGACCAAGACGGGGTCATACCAGCTCTACAAGATTCAGAGGAAGTTGCATGGCTGCTCTGGTTGGGGCTTTAATTTAGCTGAACAGTATGACTAATGCTTTAGAAACAGTTGGTAGTGCCCTATTAGATCACCATGGCTGAACTGAGAAACATACAATTAGAACAGGCTGAGGTATTGTGTTTGTGTGCGCATTACTAGAACATGAGGAAGGTGACAAGGATATTATTAGAAGCTGCATTCTCACTAATGGCACCTAAGAGCAGCAGTTTTGTTTACGCTACTACAGCGATGCAAACCGGGATGACAGACTAGATCAAAACGACGGAAGGCAGCCACAGAAGCAAGCTTTGTGCTATTGCTTTGGCTAAGCCCTGTACTTGGGTCGTCTGTCACCTTCAGGGGCAATGCTCTAACACCCCCACTCATAAGATCCCAAGTGTAAGGGGATGGCACTTCCCCATTCAAGAATATGGTAAAAAGTGGTGTCACAAGGGAAGAAGACACTGCACAATTCTGTTATCTGGGTAGAGGGTAGAACCCTTTGGGAAATGGGTCTCTTTCTGAACGTACATAGAGCACCTAGCATGGTTCTGGGAGCATAGAGATAGCTCTTGTCCAAGAATGGGAGTTTACCACACAGTGTAAGCGCCTCAAGGCAGAATCCCTCAGTCTAATATGATCCCCCGTCTGTGATGTCAGGGAGCATCATCGCCATGTAACAGATGGGAATGGAGGCACAGCTAGATGAAATGGCTTGCTCAAGATGAACGAAGTCTGCAGCAGCTAGCACTTGAACCCCGGAGTCCACATCCCAGTCCAATGCCTCCCCCACAAGGACCTTCAACTTGCTGCTTCCACCGTGTCTGTACAGTGCTGTGTACATTTGCAGGGGTGGTGGGGGAAGATAACGCTTAGCTCAGAGTAACAGAGGAGCCCAACCCACTTGTAACAGGAACTCTGCCACCCAAAGGATCACTCCATATACTTCTGAACCAGGACTGGAGAGCTCCCCACTCCTTAGCTGGACGGAGGGGTTGCATGGGTGATGCGGAGTAGCACTGCAAAATAGCAGCATGCTCAAGTGTTGGCATCTTATACACAGTCTTGAAAAGGTGTGTTGTGACAACATCATCACACCCTCAACAACTCGCAACAGGGAGCACTACAAGGTAAAACAAACATGAGATGCCAATCAGAATTTTTTATTGATTCATGCAGCTCACTAACAGGGAACGGCACCTATTTGAGGGTTTAAAATAAACCGGATTGCTCCCAGAGACAGTGTCAGTCGTAGTCAAAGACAATCTGAACTTTCCTGGAAACTGCTTGGAATTTTTATGGAGTTGCTCCGAGAACCAGACACAGGCCTTCCTTGCCTAAGAGTGACTCAACTTCATACCTGAGGGCAGGCAGCAAGAAACTGACATCGCTACTGCATCAACACACTGTTTTCTAATACACTGACCGAGAAGATAGCAGAGACACATTTGAATAATTCTTAGAAACACGGGGAGTCGTTTGTCTTAAAGGATTGTGTCAGCTCCTATTGTTACAAGTTAACACCCAATATTACAGGGGAAAAGATGCTAGTTTTAATTCCTGCAGGTGAAAGGACATTATAGTGGGTTTGTTTTTTTTTAAAACTGTTCTCCTCTCCTTTGCATTTCATTAGGGCACCATTTTCACCTGTCTGGGGTCTTCTGCACAGCAGCCGGGAGAAAGGTGGTTAATAGGAAGGAGGCTGTAAGACCACAAAGATGATCTGTCAAGGGACTGGCCCAGAACCTGAAGCTCACTTGAACTGTAATTG